GCAATGAGTGTGTTATGCACAACGGCGGTGATCGATAGCCGCAAGCAAATTAGATTCCCAGTTATTGTAGGTGAGCGCTGCGCGTAACGACTGGGTGAGTTTCCAACTTTCCCTGGAATCCTAGAACGAACCGTACGACGAACACATTCCTTAATTTTCAAAACTTTCTTAATGGGGATCCGTTGACCCGAGAATCGGGTCCCGATTCGGAACTTCCGAATGATCAACGACTTCCTTCGAGCTTTTGCGGCAAGAGTCTTGCCACTACGAGTCAATACCATCGTGACTGTTCAGCACAATGCCTAACGCGTATACAATACCGTAACTAATCCCTGACTAAGATACCGTTCAGAAGAAACTTAGCCACTAGCGAATGATACACCTCAAATCACAGTAAATCACTCATCACTAATCGTTGGACCTGGGATCAGGTCTAACGTAGGCAAAGGAGTTAAGTTAATAATTTCGATTATTTCAATTGGTTCACTTACAGACGCCTAATGATTAGACCCTAATCCTAGGGTTCACGCACCCCAAGGAACAGCACTCATGCACAAATCTGTGACGCGAATCATGTAGGCTAGCCGCTAGCACAATAGACAGCATAGACCAAACAGCAAATATCGTAGCAAAAGTACAGTAAATACCATATTACAAGACACAAATGAACCATAACAGTCAAGAGATCTCCGTGCACTGCGCCGAACTGTACAGTGCTCAACAGAATACCAGTGGCTCTGATCATCACCATCATCATGGCCCATCATTGATGGCAAATTGCCATTGGTAATGGTTGTGCTCACTGCCAGTGAGTCACTGGAGCGGTAGTGGTCGTGAACATCATCATTGTGATGACAAGCCAGTAGTGGCGTTCACGGGACTGGTGGATCGGAGCTTGATGCGCATCGGCTCGTTGTGCTCATTCACTGAGGAATCCTCAGTTGATGAATAAAGAATCGTACATGTGAACGGCGATGACCCACGAGACACTTCAGGGCACTGTGCACTGCACAGTGTGCAGCGCCCCGGCAGCGTTGTTTGTTCTATGTCGCATGCCTGCCGGAGCCGACCAGTACAATATACCGATACTATCGGTCCGATAGGATATAAGAGACCAATTGAAACCGAAAAATTCTACACCTGAGAGAAGCAGAGCGACCTCAGATCGCGTCCAGAAATTGTAGCACCTCATACTCCCGACCGCAAAGCGGCCGGAGTAGTAAGCAATTAATTCACGGCGTGAATTGGCCCCTCGCTCCATTACCATCATCTATAGAAGTGAACCAACGTTGAGACTTGATATAATGATCTTGTACAAACTCCAATGACTAGTGTATGACCTCACCCTCGGAGACACTGGCTAGAAGGGGGTCTCGTTCCCGAAAGACAAGACCAGCGCAAACTAACATTATCAAACCATCACTAGGCCGCCCCCTGGTCTGCAGCCGGGTGGTCTTTTGTTAGACCACATGATAACCGGTCACAATATTAGATGGACAGGCTGAGGCATGCATAGTTTCTTGAAGGCACATTACGTCGGGGGCCCCGACTCGGGGCATACTAGATGATGAGAGATGATGAAGAAAAGCCACATATAATATATGTCATATATTAAGGGACATGATCGTATACGACCTTCTCCGTTTCCGAAGAGGCCTGCCTGCTGGACGACGTCTCCTTCTGCAAAGCCTCCCCCGTATACGTGCCAGACGAGGGCTAACAAGGGTGGGTCTTCGCGTTCGGTTGCCCGAATTTCGAGTCACCTTACGGTGGCCTCTACCACGCGACGTAGACGCATTCGGGTTCATGTGGGAGTGCTGGACACCACCGATTTGGGGGCACCAAAACAGGCATGTGCTCATGCGTGCCCCATAAAAATGAGAGTCGATAGCCAGGGCGCGCGCTGGTCGACCCATATTTCGCAACCCTAAAATCACCTGCTTGGCAATTCTTGTGCAGAAGACCAACTTGGCGGGAGCTGTCTATGTGCAGTTATTGCCAATACTGAAGTTGGCGGAATGAGAACAACACGCAGATTACTGCACATCTGTTGAATTTTGCAGAATCCACCAAATCTTAGTCCAAATCAGTTGTAGAGTAACGTATTTCATCACATTGTTGTAATCTGTTCCAACACTGGTATCACCTATAATTCCTGTCATTAGGCCTGCGAATCTGTTTGGCGTCATTTTGGCGATTTCTGAGTTGGCGAAATCTGATACAGCCCAGAAACGGGTGAAAGTCTTCCAGACGCGGCATCGTGACTTCGCCAACCGCAGTTTTAAAACAAACAGTTTTACTTCGTTTCACACCTGTACCGTCCAAGAAACAAAAGTACCAAAGTTTATTCTCTCTGTGCAGTCGTGGAAGCATATAGATACTGGTAAGGGACGAAGGAGGATAATGATACTGGGTAGGTTGGGTTATTAACCATACTGGGAATAGTCTCCGGGTGTAGAGGGCCCGGCTGACATCACTGTTATCGTAGTGATCCTACAGTTAGTACTGTACTAGTAGTACCCAACATATTGTATCGCCAACCAGGCTGACTAAAGACATGGACTCGATAGATGCAGCAGTGGGAGTGTTGCTCAATGGAGCACTACATAGATGAGTGCTGTGCATGTTATTGTACTACACCTTTTAAACATCTAGTTCGTCTTTGGAACCATCAATTTCGTCGGGACGCACGAAGTTGGAGGTACGAATCCGAAACGGGAAGATCATATTCGCAATTAGAACTCTCAACTTCGTCATAGAACATTCAAGTTCGTCCGAAGTCGATAGGAAGTTCAAATTCGTTCTAATAGAACTTTCAATTTCGACCTTCGAACCTTCGAGTTCGTCATAGAACTTTCAACTTCGTCGAGTACACTTTTGGAACTTCAATTTCGTCCCTTTAGGAAAATCGACTTCGTCGTTTGGAACTTCAATTTCGTGTTTGCGGGGCAGTTATGCCAGTACTCTCATGGTGAGTAGACTCCGAGACGTATTACGTCTCGGAGTCTTCTCCCGGTCAAGGCTGTGATAACCTCAACTACTCTTACCTCAGTAGCCGCAGTGATATGCTCGATAGCTGGCATACTACTATCATTGGGTGAACTCTCAGCGGTGAATGGACCCCTTACGACAATATGGTTTGAACAGTTTCCCTCCCCAGTCACGAATGATCGTCGATGGATGATATAATCGATCTCGAAAAAGTAGGTGTGGAGTGGCCATGGTCCATGGTCAACTAAACCAGTTAATTTAACAGGGCGAATCAGCGCAATGTATAAGTGCCGTATTCCGAAGGCGAGGAGCTCTCTGAAGCCGTGAATGTTACCCCCTATACTCATTCTTCTGCTATGCACGATGGTACCCTCGGCGTTCGAACCCCAACATATCTTCAATTGGTGATCAGCATTAATGGAGCCAAATAGTGAGCTTCAGAGACTTGTACTTGATAGTCTTATGTTGAGAAATTCAGCAGTGGCAGGGGCTGCATGTGATACTCGCATAACCTGGGACACAATCGACATTGACATGCACGTCGCAGCGTGTCCCTGTCGTGGAGCTGCGTTGACTTAGCTCGTGAATCTTGCTGCTAGTAGCACTATGTACTGGTCAGTGTTTTAGATATGGTGGTGAGTAGTTCGCTAGTGTTGATGTTGTGTTCATTATTCTACTACTGGTGATGTCAGTTATTGCTCATTTCAATTGTTATAATCAGTACTATGGCTGAAAAGCAGAGTCTCCCCGTTGTCCTCTCTATGGGTGCT